AGACAATTGTTTATAATAAAATTCTAATTCTATTCAATCGGGGGACTCATCATAACGATATTGAAAACAATGTTTTTGTTCGAGTTTGACCAATTCGTAAAAAAAACAAAAACTAAGACATGTGTGTACGTCAACCTAAACAATAATCTAATGATCTCTACTGATTGTACGAATCGAAAAATCGGATAATTCTTTATCTTTAGGGAAAGATAATTCCACGTACTTCAGGGCTGTTTTTACAATTCCCTTTGCAATTTGTTACAAGGCAGAACAATAAGGCATTGGTTCTATTTGAAATTAATTCAATATTTAAAAGAAAGTATTAAGAAATAATTTAAAAATGTCAACGTAAGAAATCTGATGGACAAAAAACAACAATATTTCGAAGATGATAATTATTAAGGAAAGAACACAGTACTTGTAATAAATTAATAAACCCAAATAAAGTTAATATTTTTTGTATTAGAAACAACGAGTGGAAAATATATTCAAATCAGAATTCTAATTATGAATCACCACAAGCAAAATATGCATTTTTTTTTTTTTTTTCCTGTATTCAATAAGTAAAAATCATAAATTGAAAAAGATTACAGAGAAAGGCTACCTACATTTTTCAACCGATTTCAACAAAACTTTTTTTTTTTTTTTTTGGCAGGTAGTGTTTTTATTGTCTTGCACATTTTTTTCTTTATTTTTACATTCAGAATGCTTTAAAAATTCCATTTACAAGACAATTGTTTATAATAAAATTCTATTCACCAATCGATAGACTCATAACGATTGTAAACAATGTTTTTGTTTGAATTTGGGTTTGACCAATTTCAAAAAAAAAACTAATTAAGACATGCGTGTCCGTCAACCTTAAACAATAATCTTTGTCAATTTTATTTTTCAGTCTTTATGATGGTTGATACTTGATCTATCTCTTACTGTTACATCCCCGGGCAATGCCGGGCTCTACTGCTAGTAGTTAATAGAGGCAGAAGTGTAGTTATCTGCTGTGAATGTGGTGGTGAAGCTCACATTAAATGGAATTGCAAACGATTACTTTTGAGGAATGTCCAGTCAGAAGGGGCCCACTAAGTGGAGAAAGGAATTACCAACATATGTAGTCGATAATAATATGGGCTCACTCAACTCAGTTAGGATTAGGCTAAGTAGACAGTCATATAGGGCTCTGATAGATATGGGTCAGAAATATCAGTCATACACCCTTGTGCAAATTAATTGAAACAAAATGAATAATTCTGTTATTATTTACTTTTTTCTAATGAAACATGACCCTGTGCACATGTTAGTACTTCATATGTCCACCTTTATTTTTTAGAAGCTCTTTAATATGATTTGGTATGGAATCCACTAATTTGGAGCAGTCCTCATTGATTCTGGGGCCACAGTACCACGCATCTATAATGACCATCACAAGCTTCTCTTTTGTTGTACAGTCCGTGATCTGTCTGTATGGCTTGCCAGAGTGTTTGTGCAGCATTACAATTTTTGTATGCTTTCTTGGAGTAACATCTTTTGCAAACAATGGTCATAGGACAACTAATCAACAGTTAAGACAATAGTGTCTGGGTGTGTTAAAAATCTGATGCAATCTCAGATGACGCAATATTTTTCAAGGCCAAACAAATTTCATCATACACCCCGAAATTAGATTCATATTATTGCACACCACTGCAAATGACCTAATCTGAGGAAAAAAATAGAAATCGATTACACCCTGTCACTCCAATGGGTCTAAAACTGACCATATAGTGAAAGAAAGGAAATTAAAGTGGTTGTTTCAATTAATTTGCACAAGGGTGTACATAGGAGAGTTTACAGCATGCTCTAACCCTGAAATATTAAAGAAAAAGATACAGCTACAAACAGTGAACAGTTTGCAAGCACAATTAAAAGTCAAGATAAGCAGTCAGCTCACATTGCATGATTTTTACATAGTAAGAAACTTAAATAGGAATATAATATTTGGACAGGACTGGCTACATCAAAATTGGGTTAGAATTTATTTTGATATAGGAACACTACAACATTGCACTACAGGAACAACACCACACATTTACATTAGTTTAGAATAATTTGAAGAAAGCGAGGAAACAACAGATATAAAAATCTAACATTTCAACTAACAATATAGACTTTAAAGTACAAGACTTAGTATATTATAAAAACTATAATCGGCAGAACAAATGAGACAGTAGATGGCGTTCATATTATGTAGTAGTTGAGAAGACCGGTCTGGTATCTTATAAAATCAAGGATCAGTTAACTAGCTCAGTAGATAAGGCCTATGCTGAACACCTTAGGGCAGCAAATATTCAGGAATGGATAATTCCCACAGATAACAGGCCAGTACAAAGGAAAACCCTAGCAGTCTCAGTACTCTGCAACGAATCTGAGAATATTTGGAATATTTGATTCATCTTCCAAATTGTCTCATTGACATCTCCATTTATTTTCTAGGTACTTGTTTCCTTCATTACCTGAGTCATTCAGGTAATGAAGGAAACAAGTACGTAGAAAATAAATGGAGATGTCAATGAGACAATTTGGAAGATGAATCAAATATTCCAATCATGGAATGATATAGTGTGGTTCATCAAAGGAGAGCAGAAGAAAATAATATGGCTCAAAGTAATAGTAGGAATAGAAATAGCTTTTTGGGCTCAAATAGTAATGAGGATATGGAGGTATGTGCGACTAAAATAGAGCAGAATTTTGATAGGTGTCAGGGTGACAATACGGCGGGTGGGAGTTCTGACAAGAGCCATAATAGTAGTAATCACAATAGTAGTTATATGCTCAGAATGAGGGTGAAGAAGAGTAGACGATCTCCACAGATACGAGTGTATGATAATCACAGCAACTCTGATTCAGCCGACATTTCATTCCCACAGTATTTAGGGAAAAGAAAGGAGGAAGGAAATGATGAATATATACAAAAATCTAATAGGAAGGGTGAGAACTGCACAACTAGTGTTAGAAGGAAGTTCATGTGTAGAGGTGAAAAGAATAGAAAAAAGAAAAAAAATAAGTCTTAGTTAATGTGCTCACAGAAATATTTTAATACAAAACATCATTCTGCCATATTAGCATAATTGAGCCAATTAGTTTTAAGAGATAAAAACAGTAGACATTAAAAACAAAAATTGTTTAGTGTGGACACAGTGAGAAGTGGGCACTCCCAATCATATCGCACACACACACACACACACGTGCACACAAACTGTGAACTGAAGAAATATACAAAGAAATTCTTGTTAAAAAAAAAGTGAATGAACAATTCTGTGGGCTTGCCAAAGAGTAAATAGAAAGACATTTTCAAATATCCATGCACCTTTGCACAGACAGACCTCCCCCCCCAAAAAAAAGAGTAAAAAGAAAAGAAATGGAACATGTAATAGCCACATGTGCGGCTTTGAACAATTGCATTTTGTGTTCCTGCAAGAGGTGTCATAAAGAATGACACGCCCCTAGAATAAGTTGCATCAAATGACCCAACTTGAGAAATCAACTTTGGGGGACACTGAGGATGCCAACACCCAGTAGAATCTGAAGGTGGTATTTACACCTTTTTGCATTTATGCAATTGTTGGTGCAAGGATAATTGTCATGTTTTATATAGTTGTACATTTCTGTAAAAATCTATATATTGTTATACCATATGTCTGAATGTGTTTTGTTATGTTGTATAATATTTCTTTTGACACACTTGACAATGTTTTAAAATACATATTACTATGTATTTTGTAAAAGAAAAAGGGGAGATAATGTTACAGAATGCAAGGGCAGGGCCAGAGTGGTCAGCGATTGGCTGGAGTGCCTCGTGTGTGGGGTATTCTGACAGTGAGGGATTGCCTTTGTCTGGGTTTTGAATATAAGTCCAAAATGGCATGAATTCAACAGAGATTCTCAAGAATTGTGATCGGCAGAATTCTCAAGGTTTGTGACCAGTTAATACCACCAGTGGAGAGATGCTGAGCCACCATGTGACATGCATTCCTGTGACATCATTCTTACTACTGCCTAATCCAAGTTGTCACTCTTAATAAAACAAATACCAAAAATAAATAACCCTTTTCATTGATACTGTTTTATGTAGTAGCATGGGGAAGCAGAGATGACACAGAACGCAACAAGCTGTAAAGAGAGAATTGGCTTGATTGGCCTCATTACAGCAGCAGCTAGCCTGTCACTAAAGTCAGTTTCTACATTCTCTCTATAATTGCTATTAATTCTACTGATCCATCTGCTCATTGTGCTTACCTCAAGTGCAGCCTTTCCTTAAGCATTCACAAACATCCTGTGAATGTTTGCAACAATCTCTTTTTCCAAAAACCAATCTGTAATAGCTCTTGGGTTTCTATATCTGTCCAAAAGGGGAGTCATTTTGAAAGATGATTATGAGTAGGAAAAGAAGAGATAAATCTGCAAATATTTCTCTTGGGCTTTCAAACACCTTATGGTTCATAGATTTAAAAAAAAGAAAAGTAAAATAAAAAGAATTCTGAACAATAATTTAAAATTAGATTAGAATGGGTATTGCTTTTTGACTAAATTAATGAAAAAAAAGCAATTTGGTTTCATAAATTGTTTTAATAATTACCACTGTAAGGTATAATAACAAAAGCTGACTATTCAAAATGGAGGATGAATTGAAGAAGTGGTTAAATGTAACCTGAGATTCTGAGAAACACTTATTTATATGAATTACCAAAATGCAATCAGCTAGAACTAGCATATATTGTTAATTCTTAAGAAAAATTAACAGAAAATTTTTCTTAGAAATCTTAAAACAGAAACAGCATCATGAGTTCCTAATGTAAAGCATCAAAATCAAATGTTCTTTCATCAAACATTAATTATTTTTTGTTTTTTGTTTCATCAATGTTTTCCCAAATTACTTATAATTATACAAATTCTCTTTTTTTTTTTTCTCTGTATAATACTTATACGTTTCTTTTATATTTTCTTTCTCTTCCAGATACAAAAGTATGGAAAATAATGTTGTTCAAAGTAAGTATTGTAAGTTATTTCAAATCCAATAAGATAAACTTAGAATGTCAGGTAATGGAAGACTTGCTAATCAACTATATTAGATATTCTTCAATAATACTTTACGCTATTTACATTATTTGGACTATTGTCCTCATCTTTGTCACCATATTTATTACAATGTTTCAGCCGTTGTACACTCCGGCCTTCTTTGGGTGGTTGGAATGTCGAACTGAACCCTTTATTTCGCTCACTGGGGTAGACTGTTCTAGTTCCACGTGCCATGTCTAATGGATTTCAGTTATCAGTTATCTCCTACACATACACAGATGTCCTCAAGGACACATAGCACAGTGGATAAAGGCGTTAGATTCAGTGACAGGTGCCAAAAGGTGCAAAGGTCCAAGTTTGCCGAAACTTCATATCAGGAGCAAGGAAGCTAATTTTGTTGTTGAAAAATTAGTCCAACATCCCTTGTATATTTTCCAGAAGTGGGAGAAATTAAAAACCTAAAGTTTATGAAGTCCATTATTAATTTCAATTTTGTTGATAGTGAATCCAGTAATCTATTGCCTGTGTCAGTAGATGATGAAATAATTAGGAAGACCTGAGATTGATACTTTGAAGGAACAAAATAGACAGGATCAGATTATTGATGAAAATGCCAGCTTGGAGTGTACAGAAAACTTAAGAAAGGTGGTGTTGATATCTAAAAAGAAATAGGCTTTATAACCTTCAAGATTGTATTGTTGGGAATAACATTGATGATAGCAAAATTGTGGGAAAATTAAATAAAATCAATAAATAAAATAATAACAATGAATAAGAAAAAGAAATACAAATACATTTTCCCATGATTCTAGTAATAAAGGAACTTGAAATTCTATTATCCTATTAGTCTTCACCAAAAACCCATTAAGTGTCACAGTTCTATAAAAAGACAAACATTTCCGTCTTCCTCCCCTTTTTCTTTCCCTTGCTCCAGGATGTAGCAGGGCATAGATGAAGACATCCTCAGGGAAATGTCTTTTTTTCTCTGGTTGATTGACAACCGAGCTCTCTTTGCATTTCTAATGCATACCATTCGGATGTCTTTTGCAAAAGCTCCACCAATGAAATAAGTTGAACCTTTACTTTAGCCATTCCAACTCAATGCAAGGCTGACTCAAGCTCAACCATTGTAGCCATTCTTATCCTTACTCCAAATTATGGACTAGAAAAAGAAAATAAATATACCCAAGAGGCACTGAGAACTTTGTTTCCATACAGTTACTATAAAAAAAAAAGAATAAACCATCTATAGTAGAAACCCAAGTTTTGTTGCTTCTACATTATTTTTTTTTTAATATGTGAACACATACACACACCCTTACAAGACACCAACATGCAATATTAAACTCCATACACTGCAGGCTATTGTTACTCATTTGCTAATTTATGCGAAATATGTCAAGAAGCCATTATTCGTGTGTACTAAATAAAATGCTAGGATGATTAAATCATTTCTTTCAATTTTCCAATGCTTATGTGGTATAGAATCTTTATTATCTTTCAATTAATTTTCTCCATGGCACGATTTTGTTCCAGTTTATTAAACTTATACTAAAATTACTTATTATCAAAATTCCTACCAGCATAACTATTCCAGATGGCACTTGTATTTGGTACAGTAGAGTACCTCCAGATTCAAATCATGATTGGTAAGAAGCCATGCAGAATGAACTAGTTGTCTTATATGACAGTGAATTCTTGGCTGGCAGTCTCTTTACAGATGAAAAAGTGACTTTAGGTAACAGAGGTGTGGTCCTACAAGGATACTGAGAATAACATGAAAAGAGACACATGAATAACAAGAAAAAATACACTTATATGTAGAGTCAGAAAGAGACAGCTGAAATTTCAACAGCACATGATGAGGAAAGAGTGCTTGGAGAATTTGACACTCACATGACATGTTGAAAGCAAGAAGTATAGAAGAAAGCAGAGAATAATCTAACAAGCTTGTGTAAATGAATATCAGAACAGGGAGTGGGAGAGATGGTGAAAAGACACACTTTAGACTAAGAGCTACAAAGGATAGAAAATTGAGGAGAGCCATAATTGCCCAAGAGACATGGCACATAGAAGTGGTCTTACCAGAAATTTCTAGGATGCATAATAATAATAGAATATAGACCAGCAATGGTAAAGTGGATGATCATTGGATTTTAACAATTAAGCTCAATAAAAATTATGAGGAACAATATAAGGCGAGTTTTATGTAGGAGTAACATATCCAATCTATAGTGTTGATTATCATGAGACATTTTCCCCTAATGCATGCCTTGCATCCACCTGAGCATTAATGCAATTACTTGTTCAATATATTTTGTTAATGAATGTTAAAACTACTTATTTGAATGCTCCAATCAATTGTGAACTGTATATGGAAAAACCAGCAATTGATGACAAAAATAGTGTAAAATTAATATATAGACTAGAATAATCATTATATAGTCTGAAACAAAGCAGACAGAACTGGAATATTATATTGAATGTCTATTTCATCTACTTACTTGCTGAGCATAGTATTCATATTAAGCACGTTACAGATTTTATTATTATTATTATTATTATCCGAGTTGATGATATTATTGCAACAAGCTGTAGCTTTAAATTCATTGATCTGAAGAAATGTTTGAGTCATATGTCCAAAATGAAAGACCAAAGTGAAGTTTCTTTCTTGGTATGCATTTTATAAATGAAGAAAACCAAATTTTGTATACACTAACTTACTTCTACTCTTTATGAAATGGATAGAAGCAAGATAGATGAAGGCAATGCTGAATTAATTGATGAAAAGTTGTACAGAGAAAAAAATTGAGAGCCTAATCTGATTTATGACAAGCATTCTACCAGATCTGTGTTATATTGTAATGAATATTGTTACACTACCAAACAAAATATCACATTGTACATTGTACAATCACCAAAGTTAAGAAACATTGAGTCTGGTCAGTACCTAAATGGGTTACTGTTGAAACACCAGTTCCCATACAATCACTGAAGTTAAGAAATATTGAGTCTGGTCAGTATCTAGATGGGTGACCATTTGGGAATACCAGGTGCTGTAAGTTTGGGTGGGCAGGTGGTGTAAAAGATATTGGCTCATAATTGTTAATTGCAGAGATGAGTTCATTACATTCACTTACTTGAGAAAGGTATGAATCCTACTCTTCTCTCCTGAGCCATAATTAGTTGGATTGTTAGTAATAAATCAATATTATCTCCCAAAAAATTCTTACAATGTAAAAATATTTTCTGGCTTTAAATAACCTGCAAAAGGTTGATAAACCGTAAAAAAATAAATCAATCTCACTTGTTAAATGTCACTGTGTATTTGAGATAATCAAGATACTTCTTTGAAAAAAAAAAAAAGATGTAGTACCAATGTGACAATGAGGCTGCGAGATGGTTAAACATTGAATCTGATCCAAAAAGAGTTAAGCCCAAAATGGAATACAGGCTTTAGAGAGGAGACATTTTCCTTGGTGAAAATAGGACAGTCTGTATTTCTTCTTTGCTAAAGTTTATTTATCTTATCTGTCGAGGGACTGGAATGTGGACAAAAATAGATTTGGAGAATAATTTTATCTCTTTCTTGAGAAATTAGGAAAATACATGTCACCGGTGAACAAAAAAGCAGATAAGAATTATATTTTTGTTAGCAAAAACAAATTGAGAAATGAAAACGGAGAATGAACCCGCAGTGAAGAGTAAGATTATGAAAATTGATCCATCATAACAGGCATGTGATCTGGCCTATGTTTTTGCTGAGATGGCAACCAGCTCAGGGATGGAAAACAGTCTCTTTGTTGAGAATTTAGGTAAACAAATATATTTTCATTGACAAAACAAATAAAAAATAAATAATAAAATAAATAAAATTAATTTTATCTCTTGCTCAGAAGGTAAAATGAGAACAAATTTCTCTTAACAGGTCAAATATACTGTATGATTAAGGCTGGAGTGATGAAAACAAATTCTGTCATCAGTGGTCTGGTTTATATTTTTGCTAACAAAGATAATTCCAGGAAAATAGAAAAGATTCAAGAATTAAAATTAATGACTAGAATAAAACTCCATCCTCCCATCTATGCACTTTAAAAATTAGATTTGTCACAAAGACAGTTATACATGCCCTGGGAAGAGGGTTGAGTTTGAATGATAGGAATGTAGGAGGAAAGAAGGAGAATCTGGTGCTGCCTGTATGGACTGGTGGGGTGAGATGTGAAGTGAAGCAGGTGGGAGTTAGGGGGGGAGCAATCCCTGTAACTATTCCCAAGGAAAGTGGATAATTCTCTAAATTTGGAAAGTTGATTACGAAAACAGAAATAAGGAACAAAGAAAGCCCTTATTAGAATTAATGTGAAAATTAAAGAATCAATAAATTCCATGAACTCTTTGGTCCGATGCCAGTTTTGGGCTGAAGTGCATATAAGCAGATGATTTTGGGGAGCTCAGAGACTTCGACTGAGAAGCCGCATCTAGTGCTTCTGCTGCCATCAGAATTCCTGATTCCAAGACAGTGAACCCAACCTTCCAGTTGAGACAAGGCCTGGTGTCACTATAGAGATTGATGTGGGAAGGATCAATTTTTGTTCTACCAAGAGCTATATATAAACCAATTGAAGATTAACCCCACAAATTTCTTGTTTTATTTTTCATTGTGAAGATATTTTTCTTCCTTGATATAGCACCCACCATGGCTTGAACCAATGCTGGCATTATGACAACATTCAATCTTCAACTGCTCTGAGATCAAGAACAAAATGTGGTCAGAGACAGTGTAGACTGAAGCAGCCAATGACCAAAAACCAGCTTGAACTAACATCAGCATTGACTGATGCAAAGTTAGCCTATGGTTAAAATATAAGACCCTGAGGACTGTACCACTAAATGTGATTACACCACCAGGTGTAGGTGGCAGTGAAAGATGTTATACCATATCAAAGATAAAAATATTGCAAAATAATATACTA